TTAAATCAAAGAAGCTCTTGTTCACTTAGGGGGGTGGGGGTGGGGTGGGGTGGGGGCCGAAGAGCACTGCCGCTTCCTAAACGAGTTAACCATTTGGATTGTCAGGGCCAACGGCATGTCTGCTGCACGCAGGAAGGCAGGAAGCCTCAAAGTGAAGCAAGGCGTGTGCAGATATGCCAAAAACTCGAGCACACAGACAACCAGAACATCCTACTGGTGTTGAGATAATCCATCACTGGACCTTGACCTGGCAGCACTGAATGCTGGGTGATGCCATAGTGAGGAAGTCAGGCTGCCTAACAGGACACTTAGCTGCACTGGAAACATTTATAATGAGGTTTAGAATGACTTTGAACAGGACAACGGTGACCCAGCTCACTAATTTTTTGTGTATGGCAGCATCACGACCAGGAGCTACAAAGCCTGTTGTGTGTTCATAAAGCACACAAGAAATGATCTTGCTTTAAAGTTACACTAATTTATATGATGCTACTTCTTCAAGACATTTTCTTACGTAGGTTTTTATATATTAGCCCTTTTCAGACATGGAATACAAAATATTTTTGTTTCATTAAGTCATGAAAGGAACAGCTTCATGAGATAGGCAGAGACACAGATGCTTTATTCATTCCCTTGGGGAAATTCAACAACCGAAGATGTTTTAAGTAGATGTAATGAGGGACAAAATTCCCCATCCATGTTTTGTACAAAATGTTATTAAAAGTTAATCTGAAGCTAACATTCAGACTTTGCCAGATCAAGTAGACGTCCGTTTGGTATGAAATTCCCACGTTGTGTTGGCTGCTGCTGTGGGTGGCACTAACAAGAAGGGGGATTTTTTTTATTTTTGCTTCCAAGAACATAAATTTGTATTAAAAACACTTATTCCATTAAACATGACAAAATATCCGCTTTACTAGTTCACCTCAGTCTACTGAGGTTTCATATTAGTCTAATATAATCTGAATATAAAATGTACGCAGCATAAGGACTGTGGCTTTTTCGTAAAATGTTGTATCTTGATAACAATACAGACAGATCACATCACTAAGTACGCACAATTAAGAGCTACACATAATTAAAAGAGCAAAAAATGAAAAACAAACACACTACAAAATTGTAGACCTACATGGTGACATCTGGGATTAGATTGCGTATCCGTTGATACGTAAATGATACAAAATCCAACCTAGTGAGACTGTATTCATCGTTTTTATGGAAAAGTGAGCAGGGTGCTTACTCAGACTCCCACTAATGGAAAGAGGTCTAAAGAATTGTTTCAAGTGTGATTTTTTTTCCTCTCGCACAAATGTCCTTAGCAACAACAGAGTATGAGTACAGACGACATCCTGTGCATTCTATATTTTTCTGCTTTGAAATTTTTACATCAGATTTGCTTTGTTTTTGTCATTTTAAAAGTAAAAAAAATCCTCACAACTAACCGAAGTTGGGTTAAAATAACCTGAGCAAGAACAATGTCACTGTGGTAACAAAAGGGCCCACTGCCTTGAAATACAACCCTTAGGTGAAAAGTAAACAGAAAATAGAGGAATGGAATATTTATTCATGTGGACACTTTTTCATGTAAAGGCTTTGTATATGTGCACGCATGTGTGTTTTAGAGAGTGAGTGTGTTTGTGTTGTCTGTCCTCTACTGACCTGTAGCAGAGCCTACTATATCCCTAGAGGGGGACTCAGACATGGCATCGGCCAGCCTCTCTCGCAATCCTTCGTCACTTGCGTCCGCTGACCCGACGTTGTGCCGCGGCACGCCGAAGCTCTCCGGCCAACTCCCGCATACCTCCAGCATAGTCACACCACGTCCATCAAACGGCCCTGTGAACACAAAAACACACACACACACACACAGCGTTAAGATTAGTATGATTACCAAATAGATAGCAAGATGGAACAGTAACAGCTGTGCCAGTTGTGTAATGTAATTTAGGGATGTCCTGAGCTGATCAGCAGGAGGGGGGCTGGGCTAGATCCAGACATTTTTAAGCTGAATTTAATTCTGTGTCTATGTTTAAAACTCTTCACATGAGACGCTTGTCTCACCATTATGAATGACGCAGTGGCAAAATTGCCTGTGAAAAAAAGTGTTTTATTTTGAGAGACATAAGAAAAAAATTACACCTCATACTGTCGGACTTCTCCGTCAGACATGCTTAGACTGTTTTACATGTTTTAGTCAAGGTCCACTGTGAAGTAAAAGCATCATAGTGCTGCTCTACTACGCAAAAACACAACTAATTAAGGCAAGAATCAAAGAGTAACAAAAAATGTGTTGAGTCTGAGCCTTGATTGAATATTTTAGTCAATATATTAAAGCCTTACAGTAGAAGATTAACTCCCATGTAAAGTATTAGCAGGAAAGAAAAGACACCCATGCCTTTGGATCAGGCTCCTCAGCTTACTTCTTGGAATGAGCAGTAGCAGTGGGTATGACACTAATTAAGAGCTTCTTCGTGTGATTAAGGGAGTCCTAATTGATATTACTTTGAAAATATGTGGATATCAGTGTTGGACTCAATTACTTAATCACTGTGAGGATGTGTCGTATTTACAGAAGAAAACACAGACTAAAAATGTGTAAAATGAGGACATTGCAAGACATGAAAAACTCAACATAATGCCACGACAAGGTGAAAATGAAGCAATAAGACGAACTGATGACAGTTTTTCTTTTTTATTAAAATGTGTTTTATGTAAAAAAAGAAGTTCGCTGCTAATGGTGTCTCAGCAGCATTTTTTGTTTTTTAATTTTATATAATTGTTTTCTGCAAGGTGGCTTGGTGGTTAGCACCGTTACCTCGCAGCCAGAAGGTCGCCGGTTCGCATCCTGGTGAGGACACCCGGGATCTTTCTACGTGGAGTTTGCATGTTCTGCCCGTGCAGCCTGGGTTCTCTCTGGCTACCTCCCACAGTCCAAAAAACATGTTGAGGTTAATTGGTGATTCTAAATTGTCCGTAGGTGTGAATGTAAGTGTGCTTGGTTGTCTGTCTCTAAGTGTAGCCCTGTGATAGACTGGTGACCTGTCCAGGGTGTCCCCTGCCTTCACCCTAAGTCAGCTGGGATAGGCTCCAGCCCCCCCACGACCCTAGTGAGGATTAAGTGTTGTACAGATAATGGATGGATGGATTTTCAAACGTATAGCTATCATGGAAGTCTTTCTTCAAAACTAAGAAATAGAGATTACCATTTTCAAGATATTTCTGTATTGACTATCTTGGCCAAGCATTGCTCCCTTACCACTTCATAAATGAATTTACTTCACACTAGTTCCACTGGAGTCCAGCAGATTAGCTGCCTTGGAGTCAGAAACTCACGCAACTAACAAACAACTTGTAAGCACAACACAATCTTCATGCCTGTCAGGTGAAATGCTCACAGGCCTACGCTGCACCTTAATCTTTTCTCCTTTCTGTCTGCCATATTTTCTGCAATCAGACAGATCTCACACTTTGGAGCCAGAGAGTCTGCAACCTGCTTCTGTGTGTGTGCTTGTGTGTGTGTGACACATCAGGCAGTCAGGCAAGCAGGCAGGCATGCAGACACTAAAACAACTGGTTTATTCTATTAGTGTGTTGATTTCACTGGGTCACTGTGCCTGCAAGCTGTAAGAGGTGATATAGGAGGATTTAGCAGCGGTCTTAGTACGGCTCTCCTGTGGCTGAGCATGTTGAAAAACAACACGTGACCTCACAAATTTAAATTCATCTTATCATCATCACTTTCACTCTGCATATCAGCATCTCTCTCTTTGTTGACGCCCAGGAAATATATAACAGACAGCAGACAGGGAATCGCTGAATCAAAAAAAAGCACAGAATCTTCACAATATCATTTTGACTATGACTGTTAACTGACGGGAAATCATGCATGAGCGGTGAATCAAACATGAAAGGAAGACTGAAACATTTTGTGGACTTTACAATTGGTGCGTCTAGTAAAGAGGTCGTATTGGGACGTATTTAGCCAAGGTTAGTACAAAGACTAGAAAATGGTGAAACTGCTAGCCTAGCAGTTGTGCCTTCTAGCTATTTCTTGACAAATACCCACTCAGCGCAGTGAGTGCATGCAGCATCTCAAAGGTCCTGTCCTCATAGTGGGGTTAGTCAGTTGGAAATCTGTGAAACATTATGCTGGCTACGTTGCTAATGCGCTCTACCTATGTTTATTGAGCATACATGGCAATATCGGCTATATTAGGAGGCAAACCAATCTCCTGGAAATCACAAATAAACCCAAGAACTCTCTGAAAAACATCCAGTTAATCCAAAACACTGCAGCCAGAGTACTAAAGTACACAGAGTTACGTAGGAGGCTGTGGCCCAGGTGGTAGAGCGGGCTGTCCACTAATTGCAAGGTATGTGGTTCAATCCCTGGTCCCTCTATGCTGAAGTATCCAAGAAACTGAACCTGAAGTTGCTCCCGATGGCAAGTGAGCACCTTAAGGCAGCTCTGTAGCCATTGTTGTGTAAGTGTAAATGAGAAATGCAGTGTAAAATGCGGGAGGGGGAGCTTTTTATAAGTGCAGACTCTTTACTTTTTTTTGTCTTTATTCAGAAGTGTGTTCTTTCAGTTTGAGAACATTATTTCTTCGTTTCACTTTCAGATTGTGTCATGTTTTCTCTTTAAACCCTGCCCACTTTCTGAAAAAGCCCCTGCTCAGGTGTAGATCGACCCTGCTACTCCTCCTCGATCTACACCTGAGCCCCTGCTCAGGTGTAGATCGACCCTGCTGCTCCTCCTGTTGCTGCATCAATGTCCGGAGCTTCAGTCTGAGCAGGTCTACTCGCACTCAGACTGCTTCTGTACACTCACAAAGCTTCTGCTCCGTCATTTGTGCTCACACTCTGGGATCTTTGTAAAATGACAGCACTTAGTTTTTTGAAATACTATTTCCTCATCTTGAACCGTGAACCTGATTCAATCTGTGTGAAGAAATTCTGTGGTTTCTTACTTCTTCCATCTCAGGACTACATGGGGAAATGTGTCTCAACAAAAGGAAAGCAAAAGGTAGTCACAGTATTTTAAAGCAAATTAAACCAAACTTCCATTGTTTTCTTGAAGAAATGAGTGAGACATTTAAACACAAATGAGTGAGGAGTTTCTGAATTTCCTTATCTGATATTGCCAAGCTGTGGAACACCAAACCAACACAACTGCTGAACAGCTCTGGATGGACGATGACTGTATTCCTATTTGTAAACACTTTTTTTGAATCTGGTTTTCTCTCTCAAGCAAGTGGACACGCACACAAAGGAACGTTTCTCTGGTAGCGGTGCAGGCATCAGCAAAACACCAATGAGAAGGCAGAAGGGATGACATTAAAGGAAAAAGTGAAGCTGATCCTTTTCTTGGAAAGACCAACATCATGTGTCTGTGTGCACATGCAGGAAGTAGAGAAGACATGAATGGAAACATATAGAGGGTCTCTGATAAATGTGAAAGATGAGGCAGCTAGATAAGAGCAGCACACTGAAGTATTCACTTTCTGGCTACAGCATCAAACTGGATCACTTGTGTATTCATCTGTAATTTGTTACACTGAATTTTAGTCACTGTGCCAAATTATTAAAATGAGCATCACAATATTATCACGAACGCCACGAGGGCCTGAGCATAATGTGCTTAAATCCTACCATCTAGCCACAAGGCTACCACACTAGGACTTATGCACACTTCTTTGAAAAGGCTGATAAAAATACTCAGGCATGTAAAACCTCAGCTCGAGGTTTTAGTGGGTTGTACCTCTATAAGCAATGAGCCACACTTCATTCTGCAACACTAAGCTGTCTTGTCCAGATGGGCCTTTACAGCTACAAAATTCAATTCAGCCTTTACAAAGACGCACACTCATATTCCCGTTATCCAGTATTAAATCAGCCAGCGTGCAAGACATAATAACATCATATCACCTCGAAGGCAAAACACAGGGTTGTTGTTTGAGGTACACACACACAGACACGCGCACACACATATCTGACAGGCTCTCATGGAAGGCTTTGAAGGAAGGCCTGCTGGCACTAAAGGGGAATCCTTAGAAAAATCAATCCTACACACACACTCACACAGGCGCTCTTTCTGAAGAGAAGTTATCAGGAAGCTGAGCCACCGTGTGTGTGAGAGTGAGTGTGTGTGATTGTATGCTTTTGGAGGTCGGCCTGTGTTATCACAGTAGGGAGCATGGAGGCCCGTGCAACCTCTCGCCCCAGCATTAGCACCTGTCACTGGGCTGCAGCGGAGCTGAGATTGGCCAGGCCTCAGGGCATATTCACATACACAAACACACACAGTAGTCTGCTCCCTGATAGCCGGTGAGCCAGGCAGATCAAAGGTTTTGACTGCTGTAACTTTTCTGGATGATAAGAGCTTGGCAGAAGGTTAGGAAGAGCTTGAGGTTTATCAGACCAGGCTTTGAACAAGATGGGTATTTGAAGGCTGATACTGATAGCTGTAGACTGAAACTACTGATGATAGTGCTGGAGTTCAGCAGTTATAAATCTTTCACAGGTCAAAATTTATTTCAATATAAGTTCAGCCTTTATTAGAAACAACTAGCTTACATTTGCATTAATGACAAACTAGCTTATGGATGACAAAATGCCTTTAATGGAGGTCATCAGAATCTGCATTCCAACATGCAGTACAAGCCTTCACAACTTATACAGTTAGTTTCTGCTTGATATTCATTTCAATGCAAAACGTCCCGTTACTGTGTCATCTCAACAGTGTCATTTTCCCGAGCCATGAGAAACACATTAGGACCAAATTTTGTACTTAAAAGACAGTCATTTTGAAAGTGACTCCCTGTCATAGACGA